ATTTTATTTTTTTATTTTTTTTGCAATTTTTAAAATGCCGTGTCATGTTGATACAATCGTAAGGGTTAATCAAGTTCATTTAACTGATAAAAAGGATTTAAACCTGACCGTCGTGTGGGCCATAGGTGCTTATCCTCTTGAGAGCAAAGATCATGAACTGGAAATGGTTTTGTTTGTTCCGATACGAGAGAATGAGAGAGATCCTAATATTCAGTCGATTTTTATAAAGGACGAGTATTATAGAGTTGGCGGAAAAGTAGTGCCTGATATTAATAATGACAATTTTAAACTAAAAGTAATTTACTTTAAGAACTTCGCTTGTTAATTATCATAAACGGTATTTTTAAATTTTTTTTTTTAGATGACTGTCTCATCTTCTACTCATATTACTATCAAGAGGGATCTCAGTTCGAATAGGTGTCCGTTAAAAGTTGCACTTGTTGGTATCACTCAGGATGCGATGAAAGAGATTAATGAAGAGAACGCAATAGTTGACGTATCTGTAAAGTATTTTGCCAGTCAAAAAAAATATAATTTCATAGTCAAAATCATATTTCTACATCACAATAGCAGGTTTAAACATTTAAGGAGTTCTATTCGGCCGAACGAGTCAGTTTTTTTTGTTACAGGACAGATGGAGGTTATTGAGGATAAATTGTATGCAAACGCCGTTGATATTTCTTATGTTGATGTTCCTTCCGCAATCAAAAGAAAAGCATCAGATTCTGTTAGTTTGCACACTATACCAGGATGTTATAGATCTGTACGATCAAAACTTTTAACCGCTCACCAAAATGTCCGTGAGAATTCAGACAAAGCTTCGGTCGTTGAAAATTCTAACCATGCTAAACTTGCGGTTGATTTAACTGCCAATGACCATCATTCTCCAAAATGCGAGAGAGTGGATAGTGTAACAGATAGTTATGCGGAGTATGCCAATTCGACTGCTAGCAATTATTATTCATCAAGGCATGTTAGAGTAGACGACGAAGCAGACGATCATGTTAAGTATGTTGATTCGCATTACGATGAAAATAAGCATACGATTGAACATAATAAGGAACATACGGAAAAAAGTGATAGATGCGGAGAAAACATTATCCTCGAAAATGAAGGGGAGGCAAGTCACCTTAAAAAGACAAATAAGAGTAAGGAAAAGGAGTTTCAACCTATAGTACATAATACAAGATGTCAAACTAATAAAGCCAAATAAATACTTATCAGTTTGTTTATGTTATTATATGGTTATCTACTTTTCACTATCTAGTTTTGATAGCAATATCTTGTATTGTTAGTTTTGTATATATCTGGTCTTCGCTTAACGTATCCAAACATTTATTTTGCCTGTTTGATTATAATCATAAGAAAATTTTGCTATATGTCAGTTCAAGAATTTATATATACGATTTTGTAGTATAAGTTTGATTTATAAATAAATATTTTGTTAGTAATTATTTACACTGAAGAAATTGCGCTGATTAACATGAACTAAAAAATGTATAAAATATTTATCGTTTTTTGTCTCGGATTTGTGATCGCATGGTCTGTATAGATCATCGGTTAAGAGTTATTTGAAAAGTAATCAAATCATAATAGCTTTATTGGTTAAAGCACGTTGTCAAAGTTAACGCAAGAAATTAGTGATGCAATTAACATAGTTGATTTGGGTAAAAATTTCATATGTAAAGGGTATAAAAATTATACATGATGGTGCAGTTTTTTGCTTAAAGGTGGGTATGTAATTTTATTTTAATTCAAATTTAAAACGAAATAAAAGTTAGATTTTGTGAGATTTTAGAAAAGTTTAAACGTGTCAATATGACTAATATTTTAAGGGCGTAGTAGGATTTGTATAATGTTTTAAAGGTTATTAGTACATCTAATAAGAGACCTGTAAATGTTAAATATAGTCCAACCAATATATACGCATCTCATATATATAGATTGAGTTATTTTTGATTTATTTATCATTAATTTTCTAAATATGTCAATTTTTCAAGTGCATTTTTGTTTTTATGGTCACGTGTACCAGTCGAGTTTGCTACATTTTATAGTCCATGAAAAGCTTTATTTTTTATATTCTACATTGTTTAGTAATTTTAGTAATATAAGCTTTACATTCAATATTAGGTTATGCGAGCAGTTGTTCAGTTATTTTTGAGCATTCCTCGAAACGTTCAAGCTCTTTTTTAAGGTCAGGATCAATGGTTATATTAAGTTTAGATCGGTCAAATAGCCGAAGAATTTTTATATCCTCTAATCTCTGTACTTGTGACAACATAACATATACACCCGCACCTATATTCCCACCATTTAGATCAACGATCACCTTCTCTAACGTGGCATCTTGGCATTTGAATTCCGTGAGTGCAAAAGCTGGGGTAATTGGTAACTGTGTTCTTTGAAATTCTCTAGTAAAACTTGTTCTATCTCTTATCTTATGTGTATATCTGCACCTTCGTTTAATAGCATAAACTGGCACATGGTTTAGAGGAAGACCTTCATATGAACCTGGTTTATAGTTTAAAATCTTCATAATTATATATTTGGGAGGTTTATCAAGGATAACATCGCCATTTTTGTTAATACTCGTATTTTTTACGTTTGATGATGTATCGTCATATACAATTTGACGGAGGATACCTTGTGCACCATTTACCATCCCGTCACTTGTACAAATATTAATTGTTAGAACTATTTTCATACCAATTGTTAAAGGTAATATACTACTCAATGCATTTGATTTTGTATCTGACACACCACAAAATTTCCATTTTATATTGCCACAAACAGGTTCATTTTTGTACGTATCTTCTGCACAAGCACAGTAGACAGGTTGATTGTGGTCTTTAGCATATTTTATAACAGCCTCAAAGTTGAGTTGAACCCATAAATCATTTTTCCGAACCAAAAAAACTGCATTTTGCCATTCAGGCAAGTCCATATCATCCGCTGTTAATATATGTTTACAAAAAGTTTCATATTGCGTCGCTGTTAGCTGACCTGAACATAAATTATTTAATATAGCCGTATACTTCAAATCGTCAATTTGACGCATTTGTTTATTCAAAATAATTACATGTTTAACTGATTTCCATAATTCCCTGCTACCGATATTCGCTAATGTTCGAGTATTAAATTGATTTGCATTTTGTTGTTGATTTGCTCTGGTTGCTTGCAACATAATTTTTCTATTAATATCATGTGATCGATACAAAGGT